CGTAACAAAAAGCAACGAAAATGCGGATGCACTTTTGAGTATGTATTTTTAAACATGCACGTTTTTTTGTATGTCTTTTTTATCTAGCGTTTTTGCTGGTTGTCTGTTGATGCGTATTAAAGTCATAGGGTTGTAATTTGGTTTTTAAGTTCGTGTTTTTAAGAATGTTGTTGCGGATGCACTTTTGCGCATGTTTTTTTACATGTACGTTTTTGTGCATGTCCATTGAGGGAGCGTGTTTGTGCATGTTCTTTGATTTGTATTAATGTCCTAGGGTTGTAGTTTGTGTTTTCATGATCCTTTTTGCGAATGCACTTTTGCGTGAGTACTTTTGTGCATGCTTTTGAACTTTTACTCATGTGCGTATCTTTTCTAGCGAGTGTTTTTGTGCACGTTTCTTGATGCGCATTCACGTCCTTGAATTGTAGTACGTATTTTCATGATCGCTTTTGTTATCCAATTTTGACCATGTTCGAGTCCGAATTTGGAATTTTGACGTTAGACGGGAATTGTAGCCCACTGAAATAGCTTTCTTATGCCACCGGAACCAGTCGATTTGGAGTCCGGATGAGAGAGTTATGCTCGACTTCGTGGACACTACCAAAGATGTTGAGGGATTCTCTCTTCTAATTTGATTTTATTTTCTTAATTGCAACTCTTTTCTTACCCTTTGATCATTTTTGCTTCCTGGACACCTAATTTTCGATTTGTACCTAAAAGATACCAAATCCACCAATAAAAACAGAAATATAAATTAATCCAAACAAAAATCCACGTAAACGTAAACGTCGAGTATTATTGCTACACTCCATTGTATCTTTTTTATCTAGTGTTTTTGCTGTTGTCTGTTGATGCATATTAAAGTCATAGTATTGTAGTTCGTGTTTTTAAGAATGTTGTTGCGGATGCACTTTTGCGCATGTTTTTTTACATGTACGTTTTTGTGCATGTCCATTTGAGGGAGCGTGTTTGTGCGTGTTTGTTGATTTGTATTAATGTCCTAGGATTGTAGTTTGTGTTTTCATGATCCTTTTTGCGAATGCACTTTTGCGTGAGTACTTTTGTGCATGCTTTTGAACTTTTACTCATGTGCGTATCTTTTCTAGCGAGTGTTTTTGTGCACGTTTCATGATGGGCATTCACGTCCTTGAATTGTAGTACGTATTTTCATGATGGCTTTTGTTATCCAATTATGACCATGTTCGAGTCCGAATTTGGAATTTTGACGTTAGAAGGGAATTGTAGCCCACTGAAATAGCTTTCTAATGCCATCGGAACCAGTCGATTTGGAGTCCGGATGAGAGAGTTATGCTCGACTTCGTGGACACTACCAAAGATGTTGAGGGATTCTCTCTTCTAATTTGATTTTATTTTCTTAATTGCAACTCTTTTCTTACCCTTTGATTATTTTTGCTTCATGGACACCTAATTTTCGATTTGTACCTAAAAGATACCAAATCCACCAATAAAAACAGAAATATAAATTAATCCAAACAAAAATCCACGAAAACGTAAACGTCGAGTATTATTGCTACACTCAATTGTATCTTTTTTATCTAGTGTTTTTGCTGTTGTCTGTTGATGCGTATTAAAGTCATAGTATTGT